ACTAAATTCCTCTAAAAGATTGTTGTTTTCATGGGTATTTCACTCGAAGTAAACAGTTTTATTCACTAAATGATGTCAGGAATTGTGAAGAAATGGTCTGAAAGGTTCAGGTCACAAAGTGATTTCAAGATTTACTTAGCAGAATTACATAATGTAATTTGGGATATCTATTGTTTAATGGTGTGAGTGATGGGATATCAAGACCATTACTTATCACTAGAACTTACATAAGTATGTAGACATGTCTTATTGGGCACTTGATATAGCATGAAATTTGGGTACTTATTGTTGTACAGGTTTCTAAGATTCTTCACACTGAATTAAAGATACTTTCCTAGAAAAGTATTTATCGGGTGGTTATTTCCAATAAAAGTATGTCAAATTTGGTATATATGGAAAGTATTGACACCCAATCTTACTAGAAAAATACTGGATTACCAGAAAAACGCCCATGGGGCAAGCACTGGGCAAAATTATCATGGTATCACTAACTGGAAATCCGACTGTTATCTGCCAGCTTATTGAGGGAGCGGTTGTTATTTCTTGATTAAATGGTTAGGCGAATTGGGGAACATTGAGGGGTGTCAACGTTCAAAAGACCCTGCAAATAAACCGGGGAAAAAGAAGGTGACAGAAATAATTAAGAATTTACTTAGGCCTCAACATGTAATGTAAATGTACAGTAATGATAAATACATTCTGAAAAATGGACCCTCCCACAATGAAGCTAAGAAATTGCATCTAACAAAATTACTTATAGCTATACGTATCCAAAGTTTTGATAGGGAATTGAAGCAAATTTTTGATAAATTGGTGACTTTGAATATGTTTTTAGTCCAAATATATCATCAAATCACAAAGTTTGTACGCGGGAATGTATCTTTAAGCTGTTTGATTCACTGAATCATGCACAGTATCGTTTGAGGTACACTTTCAGGAATAAGTTATTCAACCCTTATCTGTCTGCTATTGGCTGTCAGCACATACTGACCACACAGTGATTGTCATATCCGGGCTGACCGATTACGGGTAAAAGGATATACTGCACTAAAATAACTAATGGATAAAGTATGTAAATGAAATGATATAAAAGAAAACATAAACTGTTTTTACATAAAATCTATCACAGTTAATGGCTTGTTGTGAGAATTTATATTAGATGTAAAGACTGGAGAAATTTATGTCTACACCATCCCTCCCTCCCTTCCCTCAATAAACTTGTACAGTATACGTTCAAACACCGTTATTTGAATTATTAACACACTAGGTTATTAGTGTTTTATAGATAACTTGGGTCACTTTTTAACTAGGTTATATATATGTAAATATATAATATATAGTATGATCTTTTTTATCTGAAGTAAAGTTATGTAATACATTTTATTTAAACACATCTGCACATTTACTGACATGAAGTAGCAATATTGCTACCAATCCATATACTGTAAAATTCTATCATATTATACTGTATCCTACACCAGACACCCCCTACACCTCCCCAGTTCATAGATTAGTTGGCTATGAAAATAGCGTCTGTTTACATTTAAAGATGTTATCGGGTAATAAACAAGGGGTATCATTTGAAAGTATTTTAGATAACAAAGTTTAAACTATAAGAATTTTTATAGATTTACATTTTCATGTGAATCCAAAACAAAATAAAGATAGAGATTTTGTGATACCCATGACTTAGTATTTAACCACATTTTCATGTGGACGTATATTACCGTCGCCCCTGTCTGTCCGAACACTCAACTGGTCACAGTTTTTATTCGGTTTTGACGAAGCTTGAAATATAGGTTTATATTTCAAAGATCTTGGTTCCTTTAGATATTGGCATGTATCGGACCATAACTTAATGTATTATTTTTATTCGATTTTGACGAAACTTAAAATATAGGTCTATCTTCCAAAGATTTCGGTTCCTTTCGATATTAGCATAAATCGGACCATAACTTAATGGATTATTTTTATTCGATTTTGACGAAACTTAAAATATAGGTCTATCTTCCAAAGATCTCGGTTCCTTTCGATATTGGCATAAATCGGACCATAAATTCATGGATTATGGCCCCTGATTCTACAAAAAATCACGTTTTTAGCTTGTGGACAGGTCACAATTTTCATTTGATTTTAATGAAACATGAAATGCATATTTATAACCAAAAGATTTTGGTTCCTTTTGATATTTGCCCTTATCAGATTGTAACTTCCCAAATTATGGTCCTTGATTGTATGAAAAATCACGCTTTTAGCTTGTGGTCCCTCTAGAGGTAACAATTTTTATCCAATTTAAAAAACTGTTTGAATATATCACCGTGTGGGCATATCTGCCTGGCAGCCCCTGGTTAGCTTGTACAGCGCAGTGGACGCTTACTGCTAGCCCCCGGATTCATTCACTTTATTTGAATTGTGTGTTTGTGATTTCTATATATCATGTCTTGTCCGTATATTTGTTTTTGTGTAAATTATGTGTGGTGCAGTCCCCCTGCACTTACTATTAGAGGTCACAATTTTTATCTGAATTTAAAAACTGTTCAAATATATCACGGTTACACCATAATGAAGGTTGAGTTCGAATTTTGTTATAATCAAACTGACACTGCCTGACAAAATGGCCGCTCTACGTATGCAAATAGTGTTAAAGTATGTAATAACAAGGTTGTGGACACTCTAGAAGTCACAATTTTTATCTGATTTTCATGAAACTTAAAACTGTTCAAATATATCACGGTTACACCATAATAAAGGTTGAGTTCGAATTTTGTTATAATCAAACTGACACTGCCTGACAAAATGGCCACTCTACGTATGCAAATAGTGTTAAAGTATGTAATAACAAGGTTGTGGACACTCTAGAAGTCACAATTTTTATCTGATTTTCATGAAACTTAAAATATATGTTTAAAACCCATATCAGACTCTAACTAGTCTAACTTCCTTTATTATGGCCCCTGATTGTACGAAAAATTACTTTTTTTTAGCTTTTTTTCTGTCCATCTCTTGCAAAATGTGGGTGTATTAATATGCCTATTTAGAAATTAGGATGAATTAAGGCTGATTAATGAATCCAAGATATTGTAATAGTCACCAGCGTATGTGAGCCATGTGTAGACTTGATCCAGGAATGTTATTATTATAGGCCTTCATTCAGCCGGCCAACGTGTGTGAGCCGTGTGTAGACTTGATCTAGGAATGTTATTATTATAGGCCTTCATTCAGTCGGCCAACGTATGTGAGCCGTGTGTAGACTTGATCCATGGATGTTATTATTATTATTCTGGATGGTACAACGACAGCAAGCCCAGCAGCGAAGTCAACGATGTACAGTGTGATGTCGATGTTACAGTACCATTACCACGCGTAACGCGAATAGAAACAATAATTACTTACTTTAATTGAAATGATGTCCATTCCTACTTCTGAATTAGCATATATCCTTTATTCATTGTAACAGTTAAAGTCATAAAATGTAAATTGTATGTCCATATTATTAGTAGAACACAGGTTAAACGAAGTAACTTTATCCAACTCATGATTCGTCGTCACCTGCCGTCATACTCGTAGTAGTGTCAACATATCGTATTCATGAACCATGATTATAGTTCATGTGGCTAAGATGCTTATTTAATTAATTGTTGTGTTAGGAATAACTTGATAAATCATTGTACATCGTATTTTTCTAATACGTAATTTTATATAACTGGAGATACGCATTGGCATAGGGATTATATTGCACCACGTCACTTAGCGATTGTTCCGCATGACGCGTTGTTGTGCATTTTTGTTGATGTTTTTATTTGTTTCTTTATTTGTTTAATACTTGTTCGAATTTCATATCCTTGGACGCAAAATGTACATAATAGTAAATAATGTAAAAGGGCAACAAAAGGGCAAGTTAATAGTGGGGGAATAATGTTTTATGTACGAATTAAAATATTGCTCCGAACAGGCCTTAAAAAGGACAAGTAATTATTGGTCACGACGTTCACGTGACACCCTGGTAAGGCTTATAAATATAAATACTGCCTCGCAACGGCAGTATGGCAGATAACGTCTCAGCATCTTACGTGAAAGACTTGTCTCCTTAAGCAGTCTTAAGCAGTTGAAAGCAATTTTTATAATCTATTCTGTTTAAATAGCGATTTACTCTAAACCTGAAGGTGAGGTAACAGGTTCCTAACAAGTTGATAATAATATATAGAATTAGTAATTTCATAGACCAGTAGGTAGGCTATGACGATCTTGGGCTGTCGTATCTTTACTGGGTACCGTTCGTTTGTCACTGCTCGGTGCGCTAGTATGGAAGACCCTTAGGGACATTGTAAGACGTTATCTCCCACCACCCCGGACTCCATTTCACTATTTTTATAGATTTTCACTTATTTTCAATTACGTTGTTATATTGATAATGTTTTAATGAATCGAGATTTATTAAAAGTCATTCCGTAATTGGAGCAGAAAACCTACAAACTTGTATTGTTGTAATATGTTCATACGAGGAGGAGCACTAGAGAGTTCGAAGTGTGGCTCCCTGGGGAACACAGAGGTTGAAGCTGAAATGAAATGGGAGGGGAAAACAACGAGATTTGAATGTGTTACGACTTTATTAAATCGGCCTGACAAAATGAGGAATCCCGTAAACCAGCCGGCATTGACAGGGTGCTTGGGGTGGCTTACAATATTCCAACTGGCATAAGATTATTTTAAGGACTTAATTGATGACATAATTTTGTTGTTTTTCTTTTTTGTTTTGTTAAATCTGAAACAAAATATTTTGTGGTGGATGGGAGTGGGGGAATTCGGGCATTTGTTAAAATTATACTAATTGGGTCAGTTTAAACAAAGTCTCGTCTAAAGTGTACAGTATATAATCATAGTTTATTCTTCTCTTTCAGGTTCTTAATAGATTAACCACTAATGAATAAAGACAATATTTACTGAGTGTGGATTTGGAAATATTAACTAACTTTTTGTGTTAATTATACAAAATTTCTGCACAGTGTTACTCTCCAATTGCCAAAATTTCCTTCTCAAACTTTAAAGATAACTTCTCCTCAGGAGTCAATTTCCTGAGGAGAAGGTTCAGTTCTGGTGACCTTCAGGGAGAACTACGAGATGAGGATATTCTTAGTTCTATTCCGTTAAAGAAAGGACCTTCCCCAAGTGCTCCCAGCTCGCCTTCAAAGACCCCTACTCCAGCCAATTTGGCCCGAGGTTTTTTCTCTGCAGGAAAACCAGCATACAATAAAGATAGATGCAAAATATTATTAGTTGTTGATGATCATCACACAGATTGGTAAGTTCTATTTGAAGTATGTTATATTGATGCTGACAGATATTTTATTTATTATATGTTAGACAAACTACCATAATTACTGTCAGATTGTGGTAGATGGTTGAGGCAGGGGTGTAGAGGGTGAGGTGCCAAAATGGGGTTCTAAAGGCTTTTAAACTAATGAATATATATTTGCTGTTCAGGCTAATAATCACCCCCTTCTTCCTGCTCACATTGGGAACCAAGGGAATAATCACAGCTCGATCTGTCTCAACTGTCTTATTTTGAACTTATTTGTCGATATTCTGGTTTATTAGGCCTACATCATTTAAAGTTATAGTATTGCCTCGACAGTTGTGATTCTAAATATATAACCATCAATTGAAAACTATATTTAAACTACTTTAAACAACGTATTTGTTACCAAAGTATTATATCTTTTGAGATACTAAATGGTAATTTTTTTTTGACAATTTTACCTAGCCACCATTATGTTGTAATCTTACAAATTGATGAATAGATGTGTGCTAGGCAACAGCTCAGTCAGTGGTTGGCTCTCTGCAATAATTTTCCTTCTTTAATTTATTCCTGTTTATTACAAATATCATACCAAAGATAAAAATGGGTTTTCCAAGTCAAACATGTATATTGTGGCAACATATCTTTATTAAGACAAACATTTTATTGTACATGAATGCAGTAATGTTGAGTAAGCCAGTTTTAAGTGAGAAATATGTAGAATATAGTGTTTGCGTATTGATTTAGTTGTCGTACATTCATCAATGTAGGTAGTCCGTGAAACAGTGAAATTGAATTAAGGAAAGCTTGTGATATAGTTATTACAGGAGAAAGATATCTCAAGAGAGGAATTAATCTTTTGATCATATCATCTGTAACTGGCGTTATTTATTAAAACTAAATTCCCACTGCAAGTAGGAAGAATTTTGTCTATAATAAAATATACTGTTATATGGAGAGACTGTAAATGGACGCTACATGATAATTACAATAAATATCTGCTAATCTTGATGTACGAGTCAGATCATGTATCAACACTCATTCGTTTGATTTGGCATTCTGGGCATTTACAAGACACTGGATTCCAGTGGTTGAAACCATGAAATAATTATTGGAAATAATTAAAATTTGATAGACTTCTGCCTAACACTAATATAAACATATTATGTTCTTGTAATAGATGATAACTTTAACTATGCATATTATCGGAAATTGCTTATGCTTCTTTGTCAAAAATGGATGATAAATACTTTACCTCCTAACATCCACAAGATTTTTAAAATGATCAAAGGTCATAACTCTGAAATTAATTATTGGACATCATTGAATTGAAAATCAATAAATATTAAACATTGTGTATAAATATCAAGTCAACCAGACAGTAGTGACAACAGTAGAAAAAAACATTTATTAGATAAATGACAAAGTTGATTCTTTTGTCAAAATAAAAATAATCATAATGGATTATGAGAACATAAGTTACTACCAATATAATATTGAAAAAGGCTGTATTATGGTGAAACATGTCCATGATATAACAATGAACATAATGTAGAGAAATTGCCCAAATAGCTTGTCGGAAAGTTTCAGCTCAAAATATAGAGCGTTTTGGAAATCATCGCTAGAGGTTACTTCACTTACTTAAGGAATTCTTCAATGATATGAGTGACCTGTTTTCATGATGATCACTTATCACTATAATTTAGGCAAGTACCTTAGGTAGCGTGGACAAATTGTATGATTTCTGAGAAAAATTACCACAGAGCTTCACACAGTATTGGATTTACTAAAATATATCTGGGATGGTGTTTTTAAGAATTGAGCTGGTGACCTTATGTCTCCAGATCCAAACCACAGATCCTGTTGCATGTAGTGATATGTGTTGTGCATGAGATAGGGTATGCTTAATATTCTAGAACACAGATTCTACAGGAATTACCTTTGGTCTTTGTAAATTCCTCTGTACAAGACACAGGAGTGGTAAATTAAACAAATTTATAGAAGTTAGAATGAAGCCAATTATATAATCTGTAGAAATATTTGTTATATTGATCTTTGTATCAGTTCTTTACCCTATTATACATACTAGTCCAGTAAAAATGCTGTAACAATGAACATTTCAATCACTCTGTCCATTTATTGATGACTAGCTAGCTGCTGCACATTTGTTTATAGATCCAATCTGTCATTTGCCTGTTGGAAAATTTCATTATTTCGGGTAAAAAAGATCGATACATGACGGTAGTTGTGTAAATAAATCCCTGGGGAAATAAAATACAAATCTTGTCAGTCCTTTGCTATAATCATTCAATGAACTAGAAATTCTAACAACTGGAAGCAGTTATATAGCCTTGATAGTCCGGTATTTCATCATTTTTATAAAGTGTTTGGTATTTGACATTGTGGTGCCACTATGTTACTGGCAAGTGTTGTGCTCCATATATTATAATGTTGGTTCAATAAATTAACCTTGACGGGTTTATCATTCCATACTTCCATACCATACACATTCTCTAATAGGCTATATATTATATTCCAACAAATATCAAACACACTCAACCTAGTCATCCTTTAGAGGCATTTAGTAACTGGATAGAGCAATGAACTAAAACACATACTTATACAAGAAAAGCAGTCTCTTAATGTCTTTATTGTTGAAAATATTGAGAGAATGCTCTTCGAAATGTCGCCCAAATAAATTAGGTAATTGTTCTTCCATAGGTATATTGGTTATTACTCTACCTAGTGCTTTGTTTCACTGAGACGTGCAAGATTTCCAAATGAGAGGGAGGGGAACCACAAAATTATGCAATTTCTGAAATTGATATTAAAAAAAAGGGGATGTGGCACAGTCACAGCGCATCAAAATGTTCTTAATTTGGTTGATCAAGTCAGTCATTGGTCATGTCAATCCCCAATTGCCCAACTGATACATACAACTACCACCAATAATAACATTCAAACTATTAATAGGTTATATAATAGCCACTAATCAGACATGTAAATGTCCTCTCTTATATTCCACATCTGTGTGACATTAGAATTAAGTTAACCTTTCGATTTTCCAGGTCAAAGTATTTTAGAGGCAAGAAAATATTTGGAGATTGGGATGTTAGAATTGAACAGGTATTTTATTTTCCTTTCTATTGGATTTATATTTAAACTCCGATGGATAAAACCCATGAAAACAGTGGGTCACTGTAGTACTTTGCTATTTGTGATTACTTATGTGAAGATCCAAGATTAGATCATCACTGTGATTTTAATTATTTTTGACCAACATAGTAAACTCATTTGTTGCATCTGTGCTCCCCAATGCACCCCAACCTATGCCAATGTTCTGCATTAATTTTCAATTGATGTAGGGAATTCAATTTAAACAGTATGGTATTAAGACATTTTTGAACTTATTAAGAAAAAAATATGAGATTTTGGTAAGCATGGTTTCTACTGAATTACAATATTTAAAATGTCTAAGCAAGGACATTCCCTCATGTGACACAAACTCTAGCTACGCCACTCACTGTATCCGACACCTACCTGAAACCAACTCAATACCAACTGAACTCTTTCACGATTTTTAGTCTCATTGTCCATTAGTCCATTGTGCAATCCTTTATGTCAAATTGCATTCCTAACCGCTTTGATGTTAAGTATAAAAGAAAATATTTATAAGTGATTTTGTTTTCACATGTCAAATATGAAATTTTCATGTGGATGTATATTGTCGTCGCCCCTGTCCGGACGTCCGTTCAGATTTTGTTTGTGGACACTCCACAGGTCACAATTTTTATCCGATCTCGAAGCTTGAAATATAGTTTTATATCCCAAATTTCTTGGTTCCTTTCGATATTGGCGTGTATCATGGATTATGACCCCTGATTGTACCAAAAAACATGTCTTTAGCTTGTGGACACTCTAGAGGTCATAATGTTTATCCAATTTTGATGATACTTTAAACGGATGTTTATAACCCATAGATCTTGGTTCCTTTCTATATTGGCGCAAAACGGATCGTAACTTCCTGGATTATGATCCATGAATGTATTTAAGCTTGTGGATTCTCTAGAGGTCACAATTTTTATTATACGCCCACACTGAAATGTGGTCATATATTGTCGTCACCACCGTTCGTCATTCCGGCATCCACAATTGCTTCTGGACGCTCTAGAGGCTAAATTTAATATCCGATTGACTTTAAATTTATACATAGTGTTTAAGGTCATAAGACGAAGAAGCCTACTGATTTTCAACAATTTCAGAAAATTAATGCCTGAGTGATGGCCCTTGATCACTCTAAAAAATCTTGTGGACACTCTGGAGGCTAAAGTTAATATGGGCCTTGATCCCTTTGAGGGCATTGGCCTGGAGGTCGGGTGTTCGATCCCACCAGGGGGGTTGGATGGCCGAATGGTTAGCACGTGCGCGCTGTATCATAAGGCTTGTCATTGAGTCAACTGGCGGGGTTTTGATTCCCCTGTTGTACGTGACAAGGAGTAGGGTCGCCTGTCCAACCTCGTGGGTTTTCTCCGATTCCTCCGTTTTCCTCCCACTGCTAAAGACCCCTACGCGCAAACGAATTATTGAAATAAAATCGAACCATGTGTTAGTCCCAAATGACATAGTTTGTGTCGAGTGGACGTTAAACCCCATTTCTCTCTCTCTCTCTGATCACTTTGAAAAATCTTCTGGATGCTCTAGAGGCCAAAGTTACAATCTGATAGACATTAAAAGATATTAAATTTATACACATTGTTTACGGTCATGAGACGAAGAGGCCTATTGATTTTCAATGATTTCCAATGATGATATCTGATTACTTCCAGAGTCATGGCCCTTAAGACGAAGAAGCCTATTGGCTTCTGATAATTACTGCCAGAGTTATGGACCTTGATTATTTGAGAAATCTTGTGGATGTGCTAGAGGCTAAAGTTAATATAATCTAATGATTTCTGATAATTATTTAATGGGTTGTAACTTGTTATTAGATTTTAGTCTGTTGTAAATGTTTTCGTTACTGACAAAAGAAAAAATATGTGACAACCCTTGTTGACAGCTCAGACAACTTAGCTGCTGTGAACGTATGTTTCATTGCCTGGCAACCTATCTTTAATCCATTTTGACGAAACTTGAAATATAGGTTTACATCCCAAAGATCTTGGTTCCTTTCAGTATTGTCATGTATCGGACAGTAACTTCATGTTTTTAGCTTGTTCTTTGTCCATCTCTTTCAAAATGTTGTGTATCTTGCATGGCAACTGCTTGTTTCTTTCTAATTCGGATCAATAATGGATTTTTGGAAATTACCTAAAAATACACAGGAGATAGCAAAATATTGCATGTTATGATTCAGGATTGAAAAAAAAACTAGTCATAAACACTGCCCACTCTCAGACATCAAGATTACTACCTACTGAGTGGACAATTTTCTCTGGATTCACAAATTACTAGTAGCACCAGTCGCCTTTCGACAATAGTAGATCTGTAAACAATGTCAAGATAGGAGAAAACTCCTCATAAAATACATAACTCAGGAAATCCCCCACATTATACTTTCAAAAATGTGCAAAGCGACTTATATAGAGAGATTCCATGGTATGTTTATTTTCAGGCTGAATTTAATGAGATAAACCTAGCTGCCTATACAGATTCAGGAACAATGGTTGATATACAAGTTAATAGGAATGGTACTAGAGTAGTTCGGTATGATTCATATATTTATATCAAACAGACTTATTTTTAAAAATTTCCAAATTCACTCCCTCCATATTACAAACAGTGGTGTAAATGTTTTTCAATTTCTTTTTATCTGATTGGTTTGAATTAATTTTGTGCCTATAAAAATGCAATACATTATAAACTGTTCAAACCCTCCTTGTAATTAAAGGAATACAGAGGGGCTGGGGGAACGTCCGAGGTGGCTTTAATTGGCCCAAGAAGCATTTCACATAAAAGTAGCCTCTGCCTGTTTCCCAATCTCTAATAAGGAAATTTCCTGAGTAAAGCTATTGTTTAAAAACCTTTGATATCCTCACATATAACATCATTTACATGGGATTCCCCAAACTTTTCAGCAATTTTTTTGTGCACATGGAAATACAAAACGTGTGCATGGAAATTGGACCTAATAGGGAAACTTTTATAAAAATTAAACAGAAAATTGGGCAACTGTTATAATCTTATAATGAGATTCATGGTTGATTAGGTATGGTAATAAAAACACATCCTACAAAATATAAATGTATTTTGCAAAATACTTGATTTACATAGCTGTCTCAAGGATTTATATGATGATGCCTCAAGTAGAAAATGTTCATAATGCTGAACTGAAGGACAACACTTCATTTATCTTCTGTTTTTTCAGGTCTTTTAAACCAGATTTTCTTTTAATACGACAGCATGTAAAAGATGCCCACGAGGATTGGAAAAATCTACTTTTAGGCTTTAAATATGGTGGAGTTCCGTGTATTAATTCTGTGAATGCTATGTATAATTTTTTAGACAAACCATGGGTGGTAAGTAGAAGGATTATCAATATAGTTGACTTTAAAGCAATTTCAAACAAAAATTATGTCTAAAACTGGTGGCAAATGTTAATTTGATTTGAAATCTGTCCAACAAAGATTCACGGTCTAATTATTTGGAATATACAGAAGGTCGAAGGTATTGAATATAAAATGCCCTTTTGAATATCTGTATTTTACAGTTTTCACATCTTATACAAATTCAACAAAAAGTGGGAGCAACAAATTTCCCACTGATAGAGCAGGCGTATTATCCCAACCACAAGGAAATGGTGAGTAATCTATGGGTGAGTTTCAGCCTTCTCTTTTTCTTGTAACCAAGGTTACCTCATCTCTACAGAAATCCAGTCAAGTTTAATATTTTATTCACTTTTTCTTAGTTTTGCACTAACACCTAGTTACTATATGGAACACAATGAAAATGTTGATTAGCTTTATTCAGTGAATAGGAGGGTTGGGTGGTCAATTAATGGTCTAAGATATGTGCTTTAGGTCATAAGGGCTGTCATTAAGTTAAGTGACATGGTTTCAATCCCAGTCTTGTACATGACAATGAGTAGGGTCAGCTGTTCAATCTTGTGGGTTGTCACTGGGTCACCCAGTTTTCTCCCACTGCTAAAGCTCTCTATGTAAGTGCAAGCGATTTATTGAAATAAAATCGTACAATATGTTAGTCCTGAAATGACTCAGTTTGTGTTGAGTCAACATTAAACTTCCTGCTTTGTTCATCAAAAAAACTTTCATAATTAGCTATCAAATTCCAAATGAAGATAAGCGGAGGGATGTTGAAGAGGGATGTTGAAAAGGGTCCCATCTGTCCCTCTGGGTTTTGTGTCCAAAGCATATCTCATGAACCACTAAAGATATCTTTAACAACATCTGTACACACCTCAATCTATTATAGTAGTCATACCTATTCCTAATTAGAAAACTTGCAGTTGAACACGTCTTTTGTTTACAGTAAATAGAACAAAATCTCATTTAGTTTTTATCAAACAATTATTATTATGTAACTTTATTCAAAGCTTATACTTATGATAGGGTTTTATACACGATATAGTCTTATACATGATAGTCTTATACATGATATAGCATCTTATACACGATATAGCATCTTATACACGATATAGTCTTATACATGATATAGTCTTATACACAATAATACACAATATAGTCTTATACACAAGTCTTACACATGATAGTCTTATACATGATATAGTCATATACGCGATATAGCATCTTATACATGATAGTCTTATACATGATATATTTTTATACACGATATACCACCTTATACATGATAGTCTTATCCACGATATGGTATCTTATATACAATATGGTATTTTACACACAATATGGTATCTTATATAAAATAATATCTTATAAGTGATGGTTTTATATTGTCGATGGGAAGTCATAAAGTCATATCTGGCATATTTTACGAAATTTGCTTTTATACTTCTTCATAATCTAGTGGTCACATTTCTAAGTCAATGAAAAGGGGTTTTATAGTTTGTTTAAAAATCTTTTATTCGGAGTGCTCCAAAAAATCTAACTGTTAAGAGTGAAAATGTATTTCCTTGAAAAAATCAACTGGGACTTTACAAGCAAACCTAAGTAGCCAATATAGCTACCAGTAGTTACATATTTGATGAAATTATTGTTGTGCCTCTACTGAGAAATTCAAGCAGTTGATGGCGAAATCTGTTTCTGAGATACCCCGTAATTACTAACTTTCAGTCCTGGCTGTTTAGTATGGGGCGCCGTTTGTAAAATAATTATTTAATTTTTTTATAGCAAAAAACATTAGATTTAACGCCGAATATATATATACTATTCAAAAAAAGTAGGGGATATTTGATTTTTAAGTGTTATTAAAGTCACCTAATGAAACTGACGAAGAAACAAATGACAAAATGAAATGAAGTTCACATTCATCGATTTATTCCAAATGATCGTTAGACTAAGTAAGGCACAGACTGACCATTATAAGGGTAAAATGATACCCGGGGTCAAACAGCAAAGTTACCACAGCATCACAACCAAGTCAGTAACGGGTAAATCCTCCTCTGTTTGCCAAACAAGCATTGATCCGACGTGGCATACTCCTAATGAGACGTCTAAGGTCATTTTGGTCCAGATTGTCCCATTCCTGTTGCAACGCAGCAGCAAGTTCTTGGACATTGGCAGGACGTTGTTGATGTTGACGTAACCTCTGTCCAAGCATGTCCCAGACATGCTCGATGGGGGAGAGGTCGGGACTCAGTGCTGGCCAAGGTAATGTGGTGATGTTCTGTTGTTGGAGGTAACCTGTAACGATCCTGGCCCTGTGACATCTTGCGTTGTCATCCTGGAAGATGAAACGGCGGCCATGATGTCGTGCGAACGGCACAACATGGACTGCCAAGATGTTGTCCCGGTAGTACTGGCCTGTAACACGCCCTACAACAACATGTAAAGCCGTTCTTCCAGCAACCGTGATGCCTCCCCACACCATAACAGAACCACCCCCAAATCGATCATGTCTGATGACGTTAACGTCTTAGAAGCGCTTGTTTCGACGACGCCACACCCTCCTACGTCTGTCCAAAAAATCAACAGTGAACCTTGACTCATCTGAAAACATCACATTGCTCCAGCGTCGATTATCCCAGTGTTGACGATCCCTACACCAACGACGTCTTGACTGAATGTGATGATCTCTCAAACAAGGGATCACGCGAGGACGTCGGGCGCGAAGGTGACCCCTATGCAGTCGATTCCGAATCGTCTGGCCACTCACTCTCACACCAGTGTCTGTTTGAAGACGAGCGCTGATCTGATTTGCTGTGATGACACGATTTCTCAAGGCCAAGGTACGGATAAATCGATCCTGGGCTTGAGTTGTCGCCCTTGGTCGACCTGAGCGTGGTCTGTCCTGTACAGATTGTGTATCACGGTATCTGGACCATAGCCTGCTTATAACAGACTGAGAAACATTCATCGTCCGCGCCACAACCGCCTGTGTTGTGCCGATCTGTAGCATGCCAAGGGCACGTAACCTTTCATTTTGGGTAAGCCGACGCATATCAAAATTTGTTTTCTGGTCACTAAAACAATTAAACTGATGTTTCCACCCTGGAATTCAATGCCACAATGACTGTAACATTCAAAGTCAGAGTCGTGCAAATCTTGGGTTGGACCCCCATGATGATCCCAAGCATCACCTGCATTCCATGCGGTAGCTATTGGTGCGTTTGGGCGTCACATGTAACTGGAAATGTTTCTTCTGTTAGGTTCTATAGTGACTATAGTCATTTGCATATTTTAGTATTATGCCCCCAAAATCAAATATCCCCTACTTTTTTTGAATAGTATATTTAGATAAATATTAGAACAAAAATGGCATATATGTAAATATCAAAAATATTGTAGCTAAAAGTCGAGTTTTTGGTCTATGAAAAACTTTAAATGTTATATCTTGATTTCACATTGCTTAGTTAAATATATAGCTAAAAGTGCTGTTTTTCGTAGGTATAAATGCTAAATACTAAATATTTAGCTAAATATATAAACATTTAGCTAAATATATAAACATTTAACTAAATATATAAACATTTAACTAAATATATATATTTAGTTAAATATATAAACAGTTAACTAAATATATAAATATCATGCTGAATATATATGTTTAGCTAAATGTATAAATATTTAACTAAATATATATTTATGGTCCCGCCAATATTTCTATTATCGTAAGCGACACAAAAAACTGTGCATAAAAAGATGACGTGTACCCGACACGTCAGCCTTGGCACAATAGGCCTACTAGCAATTAGAAATGGAAGCTGACCACGAACTGCAGTCAATGGAAAGTTGTACACTCCGTCCTACTGTTCTGCTCCTATACTGGGCTAATGAAGACGGGCATACGCCATACAGTGTGCTATGGGGGAAATTTTGTCCAGGCAGCGGCACTATCGCCTACTCTTATATCGAATTCCAACTGCCAAGGGATCTTTTATGTGCATTCCAATGTTTCCACGGGACCTCGGTTTTTCGTCTCATCCAAAAGACTAGACGGCTGTCCTTGTCAGGCCCTCCGTCCTGCATCACTGACAAGGGGAAACCACGTCGGAAAATCGGGATGAACTTTCTCGGCCAATGCAGGGATCGAACACCCGACCTCCAGGCTAGCGAGCCAGCACCTTACCCACTTAGCCACCGTGGCTCCCTTACAACAAAAATTATTTTACAAACGGCGTGGTACGGTTGCGCTTTGTAAATTTAACTATATGTTTAGCTAAATATATAATTATTTAGCTAAATATATAATTATTTAGCTAAATATATAAATATTTAGCTAAATATATATCATTTAGCTAAATATATATTATTTAGCTAAATATATATTATTTAGCTAAATATATATTATTTAGCTAAATATATAAATATTTAACTAAATATTTTAACATTTAACTAAATATATATTTAGCTAAATGTTTAAACATTTAACTAAATATTTAGCTAAATATTTATATATCATCAAATCTCTTGTTTTGGTCTTAATATTCAATGCTAAATGTTAAATATGAAAATAGAGACAAATCAAGAAATATTTATATATATTATGTTAAATATTGAGTTTTTGTTGTATTTTTAGTTTAAATATTAAAAGTGAAAAATGTGCACAAAAGTCGAGATTTAACTATATATATAAATTTAAATTAAATCTGGTGTTTTTTGCTATATAAAAAGCTAAATAATTAATTTACAAACGGCGCCCCATAGTTTAGACCAATAAGTTTTGACAGCTTCATGTTATTTAAGTAAATACTATGGAAGGCCAAACAGCTCTTTATTCAGTGTTCTAAATTCTTAGTTCATAGTCCTTAAATTCTTATTTCTTCATTTGTTGTCATATTTCAACTTTTGTATACTGAAGTTAACATTTGTATACTAAAATCAACATTTGTATACTTAACTTAACATTTGTATACTATTGTATACTAAAATTAACATTTGTATACTAAAATCAGACATTTGTCATATCAGATTTGTAAATTGTATCTTTGTATGATTTAACTGTATTTTAATATACAGTGCACTCTGTCACATCCGACATCGTACGGGATCGTTACAATATGTCGGATTACGCAGAGTGTCGGAATACCCAGTTTTCGCAAAACCGGAAATATTGTAACTTCGAAAACCGGAAGTATTATTATAATGTAGCTTCGAACATAAAACTTCGAATCACCAGAATGTTATTCCCTTTAAAAATGATTTCTGTACATTCAAAATTGTATTACATTAATTTTTATTTCATTTAACATGCGTAGGCATTTTGAATAGGTCAAGTCTGTCGTTAATTTATCTTCTTCGCCGTCTTCAGTTGATCGAACTCTTGTCTTTGCTATCACGTGTTCATTGATAATGGCCGTACTCGATTGAACGTTCCGGAATTGAGTTCTCTCAATCCCAAAAATAGTGACTAGGTCAAGTCTGTCGTTAATTTATCGTCTTCGCCGTCTTCAATTGATCCCACTCTTGTCTTTGCTATCACGTGTTCGCTGATAATGGGCGTACTCGATTGTACGTTCCGGAATTGAATTCTAAAAATAGTGACAATTGGGTGAAAATTACATCACAATTCTACTCACTAACCCTCCGTCGTCGGGACTGACAGAACTGTGACAGGACTGAATTCTGCGTCACTCGATTGCAATTCTGTCAATTCGGGACGTTCCGGACTGTGAATCGAGCATCCCCAGGTCGTCGTCACACGGTTCGAAGAGATCCGCAGGGTGACCAAACTTATAGGTTATTCAGGTTCAATCGGCATGCGCATTGAATGTTTCCAACAGGTGCGAGGAATATTTAACGACTGTGAATTCGGGGTAAAAATTCGTGGATATTCTTGAGTATTTGTCACAACTGTCGTAAAAGAGATTAAAATTATCAAAGTAATCAACAAAGACCCACGGTAGCGAGTTTTAATCTCACAGATAATTGATTGGTGATTGCTTGTTAATCTTTTGTGGCTTCACACCCATCCAGTTTTAATCTCACGGATAATTGATCGGTAAGTGTTTGCTTCACACCCACCGATTGAAGGCCGGATTATACGGTGTCGATTCAATGGAAATTGTATGACGGGACGGCTGATTGATGTCGTAATCCGGAACGTACAGAGGTCGAATTACCCAGAGATTTTTTGGCTGAAGTAATAAGGAAATAAATCGGGACATGAAAATGGTGTCGGATGTGACAGAGTGCCGGAGTGATCAGAGGTCGGATGTGACAGAGTGCACTGTAATGGTAACATTTCTTTTAGAAAATAAAAAAATTACATTTACGTTTCATCAAAAACATACAGCGAAAAACAAATCTCGAAAAACAAATTCCCAAATACAAATCTCCAAATATCAGTCTTGCAAAACCAATGTCAAAAAACATTTCTCTTAAATCATCTAACCTGAACATTATGACGACAGAGGATGCTAGTGGTGTTCTTTGATAATATACATTCTTCCTTGTAATTTAAAGCTTATATTATGATAATTATTAAACTCTTTAAATAATTTTAAACAATGTGCTTTTAATTTTGTAAATAATTTCGTAGGGGATATGCATTATACTTAAAACGTTTCTGATAAAAATTTTTTGACTCCGCAGCCACGATGTATGATTGAGTCTTGTACATGATAGAGTCTTATGGAGTCTTTAACATGATAGGGTCTTTAACATAATCAAGTTAAAACATGTGTGATTGTTTGTTTTATGAAAATTTCCATTAAAGCGAGGTAAAGTAAAATGTAATTGTCCCATTTTTATACGACCATATGGGAATGTAGTTGTATCTTGCTGTTGCCTCTATCCATCCGTCCATCGTCATGTGAACACTCTATAATCTACATCTATATTCTGATCGTTTTGAAATTTATATTATGTTGTTTACATTAGTGAGATGAAGAAGCCTATTTGATTTCAACAATTTTCATTAATTTCTTCTTGAGTTATGGTCCTTGTTTCACTTTGTAGAACCTTGTGAACGCTCCATTGACTAAAGTTATCATCCGATCTGTATTAAATTTACACTCTTTATTTAGACTAATAAAACAAAGAACCCCTTGTGTACGCTCTAACAACGAAAGTTATCATCCGATCTGTATTAAATTTATATGCATTATTTAGATTAGTAAAACAAAGAAGCCTATTGAATTTCAGCAATTTCTGTTAAACACTACTATAGTTATGGCCCTTGATTCACTTTGTTGAACATCGTGGACGCTCTAAAGACAGAAGTCATCATTCGATCTGTATAAAATTGATATCAATATCTTGTAAATTCTCCCATTACCCACAAAAGAATAAATATGCATTGACTGCTCGAACAATTTAGCTGCTGTGAGCGTATGTTTCGTTGCCTGGCAACATATCTTTTTAAAATTATAATATATTGAATGTGCATTATATTTGATAAATTTAGTTTTAAGGCAAACGTATGTTGACTTACAACTCAACACTTAAAAACAGATGAAATTATCAAAATGATTCAAAGTTAATATCAACTTTACTTTATTTTGTTTGGTTTAAATTTGTGCTTTCGACTTGAACAGAAAATATTTCTGAAAGCTGGAAAGATAGCTATCCATGGAAAGTAATCATGTCACGTGATAAAACATGCTCACATGATAAAATCAGCTTACATTTTTTCGTTAACATTGACTATGTTTGAATTTTATGACACCAATAGTAAGCAGTTCTTAGAGTTGATTTGTAAGGGAGTCAACAGGTATTATCTGTTAAGTTGAGATTTAAGGTTGACATACATCTGCCTTTAGTGCATGCGAGGTTTGATAAATATACAGTCGCCTAGAGTTAGAAATAAAGCTTTGGATATCACTACATGTATGTAGATAAATCAAACTATAGATATAGATCAGTCTATAGATATTATAGAATTGTTTTTAGATAAAAATCCAAACCCATAATACATGTATCCAGTAGATTTTGTTCAACTAGAAGACGTATAGATAAAATTGTTGTTTTGTGCAATTTTTTGCTTTCAAGGGAGACAATTCAATTTTTGGTGATAGTTTTATCAGTATAAAACTGAATGATAGATTTGTGTTGTTTGGTGAAGTATTATAGGATTATATAATAAACTGGTACATGTATAATAAACTAGACTGGTTTTCTGTAGAGATTCCACTAACCTATGGTCAAGATTAAGTATATTTAAGCATGGCTTAGACATCAATATATGTATGCTAAATACTAAATTTGTATTTAATATTAAATCATTTTTTCTATTTACCTTGTTAGTAGAAAATTTCATAAATTAAAGGAATTAACACCACAGCTCTTATAACCAATGCTGTGAGAATATTGGATAAATTTGGTAATGATTGTAGTAGAGGGGAGGACAGTATTTTCTGTTGGTTGATTTGTATTTATGGAATATAATACATCATTTGTTTTTCAGACTCAAGTTTTTATAATAGTTTAAAAATCTTTTTACTCTTTTACTAATAAACAGTAATATTTTACTTCTTACCAATTTATATATTTATTTAACTTAAAAATATATGTTTCATCTCTGTTATATGTCTTTCAATCCCATGAGATATGTTTTTATATACAACAAAATTCAGTAAATGAAAAAGATATAGCTTTCAAATTATAAAAAATATCTTAACTATATTATCTTGTATTGTTTTGATTATAAAAAATATTGTAACTTTCTTGTTAAACTCAATTAGAACAATTACAGAAAAATATTGTAACTTTCTTGTTAAACCCAAGTTACTCAATTAGAACAAATACAGAAAAATATTGTAACTTTCTTGTTAAATCCAAATTACTCAACACTGGCAACCCAAATTTACTACTTCTTTCAGCTCATCACTCCTAAATTTCCAGTTGTTGTCAAGATTGGTCATGCTCATTCTGGACTAGGAAAGGTAATATTATTTTCTTTACAGCAGTGATTGCTGTTGGATGTAGGAATTAAAGGACATTTAGTCTTACAAAATAGGATTTTTGTGATGTGCCTTGGGTCGCTTGATCACTTGTCAAGAACAATTTTTATTTTATTGAATCAGAACCTAAATTACAGTACACGTGCAATAGGTTTGGGGTAAAAGTTACGAAAACTCACTGATGCCATCTCCACATATATTATAGTTGACAGTTATTATGATATACAATTTTTAAAAAGATGTTGCAAAATAGTTGCAAATCCCATTAACATGAATTTTTGAATATTCGCCTTATTTACAAAGAATCTCACTGAAGGTTTTGGTGTCATATTTAGAAATTCAGTAGTTCACGCTTATGAATAAAAGTCAAAATTGAAAGATTCCTGTTCCCTTGATGCAACCTTTATTTGTTTAAATCCAAATGTTAGACCTACAGATAACAACTGTTGGTTTACCTAGCACCACATGGTGGAATATTGGGAATAAACTAAGACACCATCCTTGTAATGCCAAGGGGGGTTGGATAGCTGAATGGTTAGCGTGCGCGCGCTGTATCATAAAGTCTGTCATTGAGTCGACTGGCGTGGTTTCCAATCCCCGGTTGTACGTGGCAAGGAGTAGGGTCGCCTGTCCAACCTCGTGGGTTTTCTCTGGGTCCTCCGGTTTCCTCCCACTGCTAAAGACCCCTACGCGCAAGCGAATTATGTAAATAAAATTAAACCATATGTTAGTCCCGAAATGACCTAGTTTGTGTCGAGTGGACGTTAAACCCCATTTCTCTCTCTCTCTCTTTGTAATGCCAACAATATTAGCTGTCGGTTCTCCGGCCACAGTGTACAGGTATCAAAATTTTCAGGGAATCGACAGTCAAAAGATTGATCGCCTATTACCTGCATCTGCATGGCCCATGGTGGACGGGCCCCTTGGAATGAAAATGCATTTTTCTCAGAAACCACAAACTAGTAAAGTTCATTTAAATTTTAAAATTCATTAGAAATTGAGTTTAACTTGATTAGATTAAAATAAACAAAACCTTCCCTTTAAGTAAGCTCTCTAATGGCATTTTATTATCATTCTTCTCACAACAACAAAATAGTGATGGAATGTATGTTATTTATTAGATACCGGTATATGACAATATTTTCCTTTCTATTTGAGTCTGCTTGCTTTTATCTAATATGCCCATAAATATTTTGAGCAATGATCTGGGACCAATTGTACTTTTCTTATCTCATATATATATTATTATTATATATATATTTTCCATTGTTACACTTGATCAGGTAAAAATAGATTCAGCTCACAGTTTTCAAGATATAGCAAGTGTTGTAGCAGTAACACAGGGTTATGCCACCACAGAGCCTTTCGTGGAAGGAAAATACGACATTCATGTGCAGAAAATCGGCAATAATTATAAAGCATATTTGTGAGTGCAAAACAGAGCACTCGTATGGATATATTTATTGTACAGTATAGCACTTTTATACTAAAAACATTGTGGCAATTTATATATATTTAACTATCTGTGTTTTACTGATTTTTGTATAGAAACTAGTAATGAATTTAAAACATTTGTTTATATTGATTTGCTGAATACAAGAAAGTTAAAAATCTTTTGACAAAAAAAATCCCTCTATTTCTAACAGATTTTTGTTGAAATAAAAAATAGTTTTGATTTAATTAATTAAACATCTACATAAGATGTATAAAAATTGCCCTTTGTTTCAAAGTAAAGTTTTGTTACATTGTTAAATGTTTCGTGTTTTTTTTCTGAATCATTCATATTTCGATTTTTATTTCATTCTTCAAGATATTATTTCTGTTTTAAATGTGTCATAATTAGAACAATTGTTGGCATTTTTCACTACCCTTTATCTTTGTGCTTCAGTCAACTTTGACCAGTTTCTTCGTAAGGGTCAATAATTATATATTATTTATTGAATGAGTAACTGGCATATATAGACCTACATATATCATGAACTGTAAATATTTAAATGCAAACCTAATCACAAATGATGTTGTCTAAACATGCTGAATCTTGTACATGATAATGCTAGTTTTTAAGTCAATGGAATTATTTTAACCTAGATTCGTATCTTGTGACTACATGATCTTAAAACTATTAATGACATATAAATAAACCAATTTGGAATATTTAGAAATATAATACCGGTAACAGTCCAAGACAGAGTGAATTGGTCATCTATGTTAAACTTGAATTCTGTTTATCAAATCAACTGTGACTACTGTATTTATTTATTTTAGTTTTAAAATGTACTGGAAATAATGTTTTGAAGAATGCTCGTCGCACATCTGCATGTTTTATTGCTTGTTGATGTTTTTTATTTGCCTTTATACCTCACAGGTTAGAATAAACAACCATTATGATTTTCAAGACGTGGCCGGTGTAGTGGCCGTTAGTCGATGCTATTCTACAACTGAACCTTTTATAGAAGCTAAATATGATCTTCAGGTTCAAAAGATTGGTCATGTTTACAAAGCCTTCATGTAAGTTGCCTTCACTTATATTAGACTTTGGCATGACTTTACAAAAAAAATACTATAGGTTATAGGTCCAAAACACTGGACAGATATATAATTTGATCAAGTAATTTAGATATAGTAAATCCGATAATTACACCTATTAATTGAAGATGAAGGCACTTGGAAAGTTTGTTTTGGAAAGATACAATTTGTCTGAATTACTGAATAGTTAAGGCTATCATATTTTTGTTTAATTAAAAAAACCTATATTACATGTTATTTTTGATATTATTTTGAAATAATATCTAGTAACCGGATTGTACAATTTTTAAAATATGATAACCATCTTTGATCATACTAGAAGCTGTTGAACACATGTTTATCTGTTGTATCTTGTGATTACTTTCTTATATGATTTGCTTTATATGTAATTTATATGTGTGTTTTATATTTATATTTTATTAATGTGTTTAATTAATACAAATCTTGTGTAAAGCTTAATTCTTGTAAAGACAGGAGCTGATATTCAGATTGATTGTGTTTTTTGAAAGAATGTAAAATTTAAATCATATTAAAGATGGGTATTTCATACACATTTTTAGAATTTTTGGGATTACCACAGATTAACCTTACTACCAATTATGTAATCATTAGCATTTAGATAATTATATCACATATGTGAATGAAATATAATGAAATGAAATGGGGTTTAACGTCCTACGGTTCTGCTCCGAACTGGGCTAATGAAGATGGGCATGTGCCATACAGTGTGCTATGAGGGAAATTTTGCTCGAACAGTGGCACTACATCCTACTTTTATATCGTATTCCAACTGTCGGTTTTTCGTACCATCCAAACCACTAGACAGTTGTCCTTGTCAGGCCCTCCGTCCGCCATCACTGACAAGGGGGAACCACGCTGGAAAATCTGGATGAACTTTCTCGGCCAATGCAGGGATAGAACACCTGACCTCCAGACTAGCGAGCCAGCGTCTTACCCACTTAGCCACCATGACACCTCCCCCCCCCCGCACACACACACACATATATGTACTACAAGGATTTAGATAATTGTATCCCATAACGCATAATATATGTACTAGAAGGCTTTAGATAATTATATCACATAATATGTGTGCTACAAAGCTTTAGATAATTGTACCACATGTGTGTACTACAAGAATTTAGATAATGCTACCAGTATTTGAAGAAAACAGACCTCTGTGTAAAGAAACTAATTGCTTTATTTACAGGAGAAAATCTATATCTGGTAATTGGAAAGCCAATACAGGTTCAGCTATGTTAGAACAGATAGCAGTCACTGAAAGGTAGGACATCATAATTTATATTGTGTCATATTGTCTTTCTACATGTGTTATCTACATGTTTTATATAACCTATCTGTTTTTAAATGGGCTGTGTTATTTGATTTAGTCGTTTCATCTATAAACTGTGTGGGTAGTGACTGCCTGAAATCAATAATTCTGTAACTTCTGCAAACAAGATTTACACAAAACCTTGACCTTTCTCTTGATCTTAGTTTTAACTTGAACATCTTTAACAAAACTCAAATGTATCTTATAGAAGAAATTATGGTAAGATATATATATGATGTATAGGCCCTACTATGTAAACTAGCTACCAGTAGATATGTGAGCTGCTCCCACAAAACCAGTCTCTTGGTCATTTTTATAAAAATAGAGCTGGCAGCATATTTGAATAGTCCACAGCCTAAGCTTTCCAAAAATGCAATTCATTTTAAATTTGTCGTATCATCTGGAGTTGAGTTCGGCTCATTCACAGCAACATGAAGGCATACAGTTTATGCTTTTGTGCCCGTGGTACAAAAAAAAGTTGTGCGACAAGCGGCTGGTTTCGTGGGTCGGGGCACATGGTCACATATAAACTGTATATCATAGATTTAAACTATGAGTAGATGTATACTATATATCATAGATTTGAACTGTATACCATATATTATAGATTAAACTATATAGGTATCTGTTTACTATATATTATAGATTTAATTTGTAGGTATCAGTATGTTTATATATTATAGATGGTTATCGGTATACTGTATATTAGATATTTAAACTATATGGGTATCAGTATATATTGTTTATATATTATAGATTTAAACTATGGGTATCAGTATATACTGTTTATATATAAGATATTTAAACTATGGGTATCAGTATACTGTTTATATATTATAGATTTAAATTATGGGTATCAGTATACTGTTAATATATTATAGATTTAAATTATGGGTAGATGAATGTTGTCAGTTATTTGGTGGATTAGATATGGTGGCTGTAGAAGCTATACAGGGTAAAGATGGAAAGGAGTACATAATAGAGGTAGGTAAAATATATTTCCCCAGTAATATTCACAGTCGTAACAATTTTAATAAAAAATAAAGGAGCTGAGGAATTCATGCTGTTTAGGGGCTTGACTGGGTTCAAATTCCAATGTGGGCTGAGAATAACCACCAAAACCTAGTTACCACTAGTCTTGATTACTCCAGCCCACCTGTGCTTCTAATATAAAGATTCTGGACATGGTAGCGTCTTGTCTGTGATATCACCTTAGGTGAAGTGGACGTACAACCCCAAAGAAGCAGAAGAAAATACATGGTAGCATCAAATTGGTACACACTGTCAAAGATCATAAAGAGGTTATCTTATGATTGGTTGAGAAGAAAAATCAGCTTCACCCTATATTGGAAATATGTTGTGTGCTGGAAGCGGAGAGAATTTAAGCTGAAGGGATCAAGTCTAGGACTTCTCAGAGGTGGCGAAAACAGGGCTGACAAGAAAAGTCTTGCCTGGTCATTCACAAAGGACGAAATACCTATAGGTCCACCCATGTACACATTGGGTTGCAAGTAAAACAACCCAAGACAGATAGCATTTAAGGAAGAGTAAGTAACCAAAATATTGTATGTATTATAAAAATGAATAAGTTAAAACTAACAGAGTTTATTATAAATTAGGTCAATGGATCATCAATGAACTTATTAGGAGAAACACAAGAAGAAGATCGACGACAAATATCTGAATTAGTTCTACAAAAAATGCAACAACAATGTCGACCAACACCAACTATGAGGTAAGAAGCTGGAATGTTTAGTTTTAAAAAGTAACTGGTAGTTTGCTGTAGAGGGCTCTACTTCCAATAACAAATTATTCTTTAAATAAAATCAGACTGTACTTTTGTTTTATTCGTTTTTTATTACACTGCAGTAAAATCTCATAGCATCTTTTGTTTTGTTAAAGATAGTAGTTAGTTCAGCCCTGGATTAACTATTAAATAAAATATGTGCATACTTGTAGGGAATCAATGGAAAGTTGGGGGAAGGGGGTGGGACACACAGAGTTTTTTTTTAAATATAAATTTATTTCACTGTTTTCATCTAAATGATCTTTTCATTGCTAATTGAAGTCTTAAACAGTTACATGTACATAAGAAAGCAGTATAGGCCAACCAATATAAATAATGGAACACAAAATAAAAATGATACTTACTTTCTTACACTCATGTATTCCACAACTTTTGTCTCATTTTTGTTTTCTGTTTTTGTATTTGATTATAGTTTAGTTTGGGTACGACTTGTGTGTTATATATATTGTATTGATATATTACAGTAGAACAATGAGTTCTGGTGGTGTATCACATCATGCTACCAATGGTAATCAGATGCCAGTTAATCAACCAACACATCCACAACAACAACAACCTCATAATCAACAACATCAGTCTAGGCAGCAAGATGGGTAAGTCCTCATATTGACCATAAACAGCAATCCCAAAGTTAAACACAACTATTCTCAAATGGGGCGTTTTTTTATATTAATGGGTCTCATCTTTTACCCAATTACATTTCTAATCGAAAGCCATCCACATCATTAATTTTGTTTTTGAGGACCAATTATTTAGAATGTAGCCTATGGCAAAATAAACATATGGTTTAATGATTTTTGATTTGATTTTTTTTTGTTTCATTTCAGTCCAAATGCTAACTATGGACCAGGGGGTCGCCAAATGCCACAAGGTGGTCCACCACATCCCCACCACCCTGGCTCTCATGGTGGTGAAGAAGAGGACACCATGCAGAATCTACGCAAGACTTTTGCTGGAATATTTGGAGATATGTGATTATAGAAAAATTAGCTGTAATTACTAAATTATATTACAAGCCCTGGCTAGCTAAAACCTAGATAATATGATATACATTATACTGTATATTTTAGCTAAATGAGTGACTTAATATTGCTCAATAAAGTACTAATATTTATAAGCTAGTGCTCACATTATGTAGATTGTAGAATAAAGTATAGACTTATAGAATTAATGGTTTAGAAGACTGATATGTGCTATTAATAACCATTAATCAAGTATCATTATATAAGATTTATCAACTTATTTCATTCTATTTTAATCAAACATTGTTCAAAAGATGCCATATGTATGTGGTTTGGGTTGTTTGTTTTTTTTAAAAATAGGTACCATACTTAAAGTTTCATTATTTGTTCCTAGTTGTTATTTAGTCCTCTCTTAGGATGTTTTTAAAGTTTTATAATCAAAATATATATAATTTTACATGTTGTAAATATTAGCTCATTACATAAATAGGATAAGCAACTAAAAGAATTGAGAAGGATCAGGAGTGAATTAAGTTTTAGATCAGTAGATGAATTCAGGTTAAGATTAGTAGATGAAGTAGTTTTTAGATTACATTTGATGTACCAATTTCAAATAATAAGACCACTGTTGGCCCCCCAGTCATGGTAGTGTCTGATGGTTCACATCATCAGTAGAACAAGTATGTCATCCAGTGATTACATGGAACTCTATGGCTTCTAGCTCATTTAAATCTCAAATGCTTCAAATCAGTACCATATATTCCATAACAATTTCAGGCAAAAAAGGTGTTGCTATTCTTACCTTGTATTCTCATTCCAATAAACTCTATTTATGCAGTTTCTTTAGTGGCTGTTAGAGCAGAAAATATAACATTTGAAATTCACATACTACTCAATATTACAAATATAAAATGTATGGTAATTATTTGAACAAAGTAATTTTCTTGGCTCAAGATATATGCAAATTTGCTTTTACTTAAAGATACATTATGAGAGATTAGATAGAGCTGGCAGTTCTCACTATAATAGTTAAAAACTAGATAATGTAAAGGGAATTTGCTGAAAATTTCAGTCAAATTGATCATCATTACTAAAGTCGATACGATAAAAAACCAAAAGTCTCGGCTATTCATTTCATGATTAAATCATGAATGAAAGTTGAGCAGCAAATCAGATCCTAATCCAGTAAATATCGCAGGCTAGCGATGACATCGAGAGTTGATTATAGTCTGGATATGTTAATTAATGTCTATTTAATAATTTAGATAATATTTCAGGCCTAAAGAAAAACATGAAATAGGCAGATTTCGCTCTTGCATAGCATTATGTATGTTTAAGCAAACAAATAACCAAATACAAAAAGAACCAAATATAGCATTGGCTGCTATGTGCCAGACACTGGAGTGTTGTGGTACCACATTGTTATTTATTATTGATTATGATGGAAGATGATCCCGGACATTAAATATATGAAATGGTTTGTGTTGTGTGACAAACTTATAAAAATGTCCACTAGATTATAAAAACAACCCAATCCATATATTTTCATATCTAGAGTTATCTTTATTGGTAATTAATATTATCCTCATGGATAAATGAAATACGGTTTAACTACTACTTTTGTGCACCATTGGGACTAATGAAAATAGCTAGATGAAGACCATAAGCTGATGGTTATATATGTGTATTTATAGAAATTATATCTTGTAGGATTGATCTCAACAAGTGAATTTTTATTTTTTGTTGTATAGCAAAACCGTGGGAATAGTCAGTGAATTATTAAAATGATTGTGATGAAAACTAAATTCTAGTCATATAACATTCCTCGGACACATACAGTATATTATCTTGTGTCAATTTTTATCTTCAGTCATTTTTTATAAAGAGTATTATATTGTCTTTTAATTAGTCAATGTAAGCAGTTTCAAAAATAAGGTTCCATTTACGTTAGGTTTACGTTTTTCATAATTTTACAAAAAAGAACAACAAAACAATCTGATAAAATCTTTAATGGTATTGGATGCATCCATTATAACACTGCCAGTGACATAACCTCGAGAGATGGTCCAAAACTTAATCTGCCTCTTTCGACTGGGCACTTCTTCACCTTACTGTGATTGTGCTACTGAATACTGCTGAATTGCTACCTGATGTTAGTTCATTCTACTTCTATTAACAATGGTTTTAATCTAACAATAAATTTATTTTATATGGCTTAGATTATTATTGTCACATCTATCTGTGTGGTGTATGAGGTAGGTTGTTAATTTTTTTCATGTTTATGTCATGTTTCTGTGTAATATGAATCATTATTTAATGTACTATGTACAGTTAGTTTTTATTATTATTTTTTATATTATTTAATATTAAAAACATATCATTCCATTTTTATTTTAATGTATTGTTTGTTAACTCTTGAAATTCCATTTGTACCCAAAATAAGTTTACATTATGCCTATATGTAAAACTGTTATTATTTAATGATTTAATTATATATAGTCCTACTTCATTATGTATAATTCATTAATCATTAGTTTCACGAATTTGTTTATTATTTAATCAAGAACAAATTTGAAGTTAGTTTGACTATGAAGTGTGTACCTATAATATAGTGTGTTGTAAAAACTGTGATCTGTTCAAATTCGTTAAGTTTCTGTTGAAGTTCATTAAATTGAAAGTTAATACAGAAATTAAAGATTACATTATCCAAGATTTATAGAAGATTTGATCATTTGGGTGATTAAATGAACAGTAAGCCTAAAAGTTGTGATCTTAGGTAAAATCCAATTAACCATATGAGAAGAGAGGTTCTAATATTTCACAGATACAATAATAATTTATATACCTTTGGTTAGTATAACAATATCTTTAAATCAATAATAATAATAATTGATGTCCAGCTTTCTGTCCAAAGGAAGGATGTAAGCTGGAGCATCAACGAAGGCAAAAACGTTGACTAGCTGTCCAAATAATGATGTAATATGTTGATCTAGGCTTGTTTTTAGTATTGGGTATACTTTCTCTGCAGACCATATTGTTCAGGTCTGCTCCAAATATCGAGAGAGAATAAAATCTACCCTCTCTCAAATTGTATAGATTAAAAACTGGTAGTATCCTTTGGGCAAATATTAGGCGAGTGAATAAGCTATAAGTCAATGTATTTTAGCCAATTCAGCAAATGACACCAGTGTCAATTTGCAATAAAACTTAAATTATGGGGTTTAGCAAGATTACCAAGAAGACACTTCTCATAACCAAATATATAGGTGGCACAAGCTCCTTCTTATGGCTGTTTACAAAAATGCAGGTACGGGTTTTCTGTATAGTGACTATATAATCGCCCCCCAATAATGTTTTTACTCTTAAAAGAAGAAGCTCATTCACTTAAGATATATTCCACTAAAACTAGTACTGTTACTTTCAGTTTGACACAGAGTATTACCGAAGTCTACCCAACCAATACTAACCTGTGCGTATATTTGAATGAATTGGCCAACGAAAACGGACCAAATAACATGTAAATATATTGATAAATTGGCACATCTTCACCTGTGACTGTAATTACCAATTAGTTCTTAAAATAATAGTTTCCAGAATATAACTAGATGATGTTGTTGTACCGTGATACACTGAGCTACAGAGCTAAAGGTGCATATATTTATGTTTAATTTATATAATGTACATATTCTATCATAAATAATCTATAACTTATACGTTTTGTTAATGTTTTTATAGTATACTGTACTACACTTGGTTGTGCTTAAGTTTTATTGTTTTTTGTGATATATTTGTTATGTATTAAGACGATGGTCAAGAACACATAGTTTTAAATTAAGATCTACTCTGTTTTTCGGCGGTTTACTCCACTTTATATGTAATCTATAAGAAGGGCAATCCGAAAAGAACAAATAAGTTTAATTAGATGGACCACCTGAAGGTCTATTATGACAAACCTCAAAATGTTGTCCAACTCAGACATGTAATTTTATTTACATTATTATCAAGCCAAATTTATTCCAAATACTCATTTTGTCGTAGGATTAAATACTAAAAGGTGTTAATCAAACTATAATAGGTTTTTGTTTGGGGATGCTCACTGCCCATAGCCGTAACTCTGGACCTAAAAAATGGAGTATTGAAATGAAATGAAATGGGGTTTAACGTCCTACTAAGAAATGGGAGTAATGGCTAGGTTTAAAAATATTATATGCGAAGATAGCTATAGACTATTACAAGCGTTTTGTCTAATTAAACGGTATTATTAAACCAACATTTTCAATACTTTGAATTTTAACCGAATGTTAATCAATAATTATAAAAATATTTCTCATTGTTTGTTTTTTTTACGTCTAAAATGTTATGCAAGAATTCTACTGTATTATGTCGGTATTAAACCACACCTAAAAATTAATATGTAAAAGCTTTTTAACTGTTGATAATAGCATTAGAAAACAAATCAATAAAAGCTGAGTTTTTTTCTTTCTTTCATTGTTTTAATTTGTTAATATCTCGTTTTTATTCTCCCACCCCTTGTCAGTGGTGCAAGGCGGAGGGCCTAGCAAAGGACAATGTAGAGTCCTTCGGATGGATCGAAACACCAAGGTACCTGTGCACGTAAAAGAACCCTTGAGAGTTGGAATTCGGGCAAAATTGCCCTCATAGCATAGTGCATGGCGTATGCCTGTCTTCATTAGCCTAATCAGTATGTTGAGTATATAGCTCCATTTTGGAAAAAGAAGAAACGATTTCATAATCTCGTGACCATTTTGTCGCCTAAAAGTGAAGTAGCTGAGCGAACAACCTGAACCATAACATATTTTCGCTTCACGTGCAATACTAGTAATATAATGTTGGAACGATTCTGCTACCTCACACAAAAGAGAGAAAAATTAAAATAAAAGAAGCTAAAACTTTCACATTAATATAAAGCTTTACTACATATAATATAGAAGCATTATTCATAAATAATATTAATTAATCATAACATTTATATTAGACATACAATATAGATAAATAAACATCCACAGGTGAAGCTGGCATGGTGACAGTAAAACTGTAATCATTGCATAACCTCGGTCCTAATAATTACTGACAATTTCACTTACCAATACTTTTATCAAATTTTTATGAAATTATTTAAATTTTGGATGTGGTGTGTAGAATATAGATATCTATAACATATATTTTCTTGTTGGTCATTTTTTGCAACACTTGGATCAATATTGACCAAGAAACACTCTTGTTAGTGATTAGTAGAACCCTTATATAACTTATTCATTTTATACAGAGTACAGTTAATCACTTTCCTCAGTATTATCTAAGAATGGTATTAAGAATAATATGGACGATGCTGGAATATAGCTTTTAAGAACTTACAGGTACCGTTTGTAAGGAATATTAGGAGGGGAGTCGAGCTTATATTCGGGTAGTGTTCGGTGGTTTCCTGAAAAAATGTCTACTTTGGATCATAATTTATCGATAAATTCGATCAAAACCTCATTGTAAGCGTTTTACACTGAATCAAAACACACAGATGTGGACGAAGTGCAAGCGTCAATTTTAGTCGATCTGGTGGAATCGCTGCTTTTGCAAAAAAAGAGAAGCAGGACAGAGTGATAAAATTGTACGTGGGTAAGAGAACAGTCTTTCAAGCTAGAATTACATGTAGTAAATGATACATACATTGAATAACGACCAACAGAAACCCTTGGATTAATGCATATGTATGTAAATGTCTTCAGCTGGTAACATCACATCGATATAAAGCACATCACACAAAAAATTCTCAAATGTGATGTGTTTGTTTATGAATACGAAAGGTGGTTGATCAGATGTGGTCAATGTGATGAATTCGATCACTTTTACATCTTTCAAATTATCAAGGGATACCATGAGCGCCATCATCCGAAAACTTAATACCAAAAGCTGCGACAAAGACGTTGACTACAGTTATAAATAATATGAGACCAGTTACAGCATTATTGATAGCATTCTTTCTGTTAGCACCATCCTCGGTTTTAGCTTCACGTGAACCCAGGATCAGAAGCAAAACTCCAACTGTAACCTGAAAAGAAAAAAAGAAAGAATGAGAAACACCAAAGTTGTCAGTTTAAGTTCAAGAAATTCAGCGCTTGTTGGTGGTAACAATGGTTGAAACCATGATGTGCCAAGATGTTATCATGGCATTTTTGACAATAGAACAGTTCGATCAAAGTGTTACATAGTGCTGTTCTTTATGGAACCTCTATTCACAATAAAACAGATACCCTTCAGGTATGGTTTATTATCAGGAACATAACATACATTACAAAATAATATACATCATCATACAGACCAAAAGCTTCACTGCTAGTGAATCTAGACACCCCCCCACTCAACTTTATGCTTTACGGGTCTAACATTACATACCCAGTTATAGTTGCCTCAAAATAAGGGGGTTATATTCAAAACAACAAGGGGGTATATATTAATCTGCACATACGGAGAGTTGTGCTTTTTATCATATCATAGTAGTGATTTACTCCATAACCCAGTATGTAATATGAGATGACTGTACGTGTCAGTATATGCTTTGGCTGAATTTGGTGCCACACCATGATAGTTTCGGAAATTGTGGAATGTGAAATGGGAGAGGGCAATAACATATCTTTCTTTTTTGTCCCCCATATCTTTCAAATATAACTTATTAATTCCACAACATGCTTTCTTTTACCTGCATAATAACCGATAATCCAATCAATGTTAACATAGGGATAAACAACGTATCCCTGCTTTCTGGCTTTACATCTAATAATGCCTTCAGCTGGGAAGCGTTGGCCATTAACAGTGCGAAATCTAACAACCCCTCTGATACCGTCTTCCTTACAGCATATGTTCTAGGCAATGGCTACAAAATAAAATAAAATTCAAATTGAAATGTAAGAAATGAAATAAAACAATAGCGCGTCTGGGGCCAGAGGAAGTGGTGCAGTCAGAGTTTTTGTCGCCTGTGTGGTCCGTGCGTATTCAAGCTACCCGCGCGCCGAAGGCGCGCCGCTGGTAGGGGGGCCTGGGTGGGTTCTCCCCCCAGAAAATTTATGAAATTTGACAACGGGAAACGCGTTTTGCAAGCACTTCTGGGAGAAATCTAGGTATCATATTTTCCAAATTTATTCTGCTATTTTGACTATAAGACATACCACTGTACTACACAAGACACTCATGACAGGTCTGCTTAATATAATGCTAATACAATGTATTTCTATCCAAATAATAAATTGCATCTAATACATATCGAGGCATGAATACATGTATCAAAGACCATTTCACCTTAAGGTGACAGACATTTGCACGTCAGCATAATATATATTTACTAATCGTTGTGTATGTATGATTTTTCGCGTGCGCACTCTCAATTTTTTGAGGGGATTCCGCGTGAAAATTAGAGCTCTCAGGGGGGGGGGGCGCTTATACGGGTGGACTTATTGTTTAATGGGGGCCTGGGAGGACACCGTCCTCCTAAACTCCCTGCCAGCACGCCCCTGGCGTATTCCTCGTCGTTTGCAATATCGTGTATGAAATTTCACGCGCACAAATATAAACAAGTAAAAGAGCACAGTTAGTTTTACCCACTTAGTAAGTACATTCTAACATTTTAATAGTTTGGCACAATATTGATTTTCGACTAAATTTATAAGCTTCTGTTTTCCACGTTCAAACCTTCGTTAGCTAATAAGTTGTTAAGAATGGCGTGCGCTAGACAAAATGTGCTTACTCGTTCTAGGACAACGGTGCCACTTCTCGTTCCAGTAACCCACAAAGGTAACAAACGGTGGGGCATTTTTTTGGATTGGAAACCCATTATCAAACATTGTGCTCTCCATAACAAGCTTGTCATAATTTGCTGCCAAATGAGAATTTTGTTCTTGTCAAACTGACGTTTTCGAATTTAATTTTGCGTTCATTGTAACTTATTTCAGATGAAGTAAATTTTCAGCAGTGTGTTGATTATGTAACCAAAGTAATAACGGTTTCTTTATAAACTTCTTCATCAAGAGGAGCTGAGATTAACTTCTCTTTCAAATATTGTTCTTCCCTATGTCAAAGGAAAAAAAAGGACCGCCTAGAAATAAACGAAAAGAAACTTCTTAAAGATTCTGGATTAAGGCGATTCATCTTTTCGATTTACAGCTTTGAAAATTGTGCACAAGCTGCAGATGTAAATAAACAGTTTCATCATTCACCATTTCAGTTTCACACGATCAAAGTAGACATTTTGGCTTTTATCCGATTTACAATGGTATATAAAAAAATAAACAATTAGGGAGTCGATAAGGCGTTCTCTTGTTACTTCTCTTATTTTGTAGAGGAACAATTGAATTAATTAACAAACGTATTAAATATGTTTGTTTTTTATATATATTAGTTTCTGTTTGTTATTCTAAAAGCCCATCCTTACTAGTCCGGTTGATGTAGAAATGTAGAGCGTTAAACCGATTTCCTAATATAGTTTTTCAACAAATTTATAACTTTGTCACTAGTAAAGGACACGGGTATCAAGAAAGTGTTCTGTGGGCAGAGCAAACATGACGCGTGGTTCTATGGCAAAATCTCGTGACTGTAAACATTATATTATAACATGAGTAATCTATAATAGTGTTAGTTTATCCCTATCTAACCCTTCCATTTAACACACCAACGCCTTCTTGTCAAAAAATGACATACTCCGCAGTATTTATTCTATCTCGTATTTAGTGCAGAATAATCGACATTATTGTACGTTTATGAAGGTTTCACAATTGATTTGTTAAGTTGGATAACGCCGAATATCTTACTGATTTCAACAAAAACAGAAAAAGGAGGAACTGAAAATGTTTTCAGATTATATTTAGCAGGACATCTTATTTTTCAAAGGAAAAAGATTATAACATCGTTTTGCAATGCCTATTAGCTTAGACAACATGATAACATTGATTTATAGAGGAAGTAAAATACACACCGTCATTTTTTGTAATACCTATTAGCTTTAAACAATGTGATATAAAGCAAGTGTAGGTACAATGGAAAATCTTTTATTTCGCAAAAAGTGGATATTGTGCTATACGTTTCCACCGATTCAATACATCTCAACTGCAACCATACACCTATAACAAAACCCGAAATTGTTTGACATCAACCGTTTTTGATAAACACAACATCAAAATTCCGGCCTACACTGATGTGTTTTTTAACATGGTGTATTTATTCTTGTTTGACTGTGTAAATCTGTTCAAGTCTCATGTTAGCCCATTGATAATCAATGGTTTCGCTTATCCACTTTAAACCCTCAAAAACACGGCCTGACTTAGTGAGATTGATAGAGATTATCCTGGTGCGTTGGTAAATCTTTTTCAACTTGCTACTGGTGTTTTTGGCCAGCTGACAAATGTAAACAGGAAGCTTTCGGTAACTTTCTACCATTTTCATGCGAATGACAAAATTGTTCGTGCGTTTGCATGCAC